CTTAATTTAAAATGTGTCCTAGATAATAGACGTATTTGAATCTCGTTAGACTTTAGTTCACACACACACACACACACACACACACACTCATACACAAAATAAGGGTTAGATAGAACAGGCAACAGATGTGGTGATACCACTATCCCACTGTTGAAACAGTATGCACACACTTCATAAGAGATTCCTACTACATACTGTATAAGGTACAAAAGGGACACACAGGATGACTCAGCAAGTAAAGGACTTGCCACAAAAGTATGATGACCTGAGTTTTATCTCTGGAACTCATGTAAAGGAGAGAACCAACTCCTCTCTCTCTCTCTTTCTCTCACACACACACACACACACACACACACACACACACACTTACTTATGCAATAATAGTAACAAATATGTTGAAACTATTTTTAAAGAAAATTGTTTTAAAGTTAAGTTCACTTTAAAAGTTCAAAAAGTGGTTACAGAAGAAGTATGTAAGCCTACTAATGTTGAAAATCAAATAAATGAACTATTTTAATAATATTCTGTCAATGAATGAAAATATTTTGTGAGGTTGCACACTAAACTATAAGGCAGCTATTAATATGGTGGAAACATATTGCAACTACAAAAAAGAAGACAGCTAATCATAATAACCGTTTACCTGTCATGTGCTATAAATATATTATACTTTTCAAAGGATTAACAAACATCAATTCATTTTCATTCTCAAAACGGCTTTCTAATGCTTTGCTACCATTATCCTAATTTATAGATGAGGAATTTTACATATAAAGTGCTAAAGAGTTTGCTGCTTATGACAGCTCTAATAAATGGTAGAGGCAAAGTTTGAACCCGTATTCTCTGGCTCTGAAGTCTATGTACTTACCTTTGATAGTAGTTATTACAAATACATATTACTTTACAGTTTGAAAAAGTATTTCTTAAGTCCATCTCCAATTAGCAATAGTAATATTAGCAGCAACAAACACACCACTAATTCTATGGAGAACCTGACTACCAGTGAAGGAAGCCTTCTGTCCCCATCCCGAAACGTCAATTACCATTCTACATCTTTTCCTATCCTTTGTACCCATAAAGTACCAGGGTCTTCCTCATGCATGTGCCCTACCCCAGCAAGTTCTCAGGATTCTGAAGACCATATTAGTCATCACACACACTTCTATATTCATTTTTCTCCTTCTCTCCTGTCTGATGTGTCCACTTTAGGAACAAGCATTTCTCTTGACTAGCTGTCAATCATAAAACAATGGGATAACTATTTGCACTGGGTGGTGAAAAGCTGAACCACATTGTGTCTGGATATAGGATGGATTATGTACCACACAAATTGAAGATCCATAAAAGAGGAATTCAAATAATATGCAGAACATTGCAGCTTAACTTGGGCTATTTTACAGACATCCTGAACTCATATTTGGGGGGAAAAAACCTAACAGAAAGTGCTGTGCACAAAAGTGTGGCTGTCTCATGCCATGTGCTGCTAAGCACAGCACAGGAAGTGAAACACAGAGCAGAGCGTGTTTGTGCTTTCACATGTTGCTAACACCAGTGATTGAAACGAGAACCAGTATGAACACTACAGAATAAAGAATCTCATGGCTTCTTCACCTAGGGGATGCTCGGCATGGGTCTTTCTTTAAAGATCTCAGATCTCCGTGGCTGCCCTGCCTCTGGGGAAGCTTACCATGTGTGTTGTTTTAGGGATTCCACAAAGCTTCCACATAAGCTGCCCGGTGAATTCTGTCATAGCTACAGCACTCAAGCAGCTGTCCCTCATCCTTGACTGTGAATGCTCACGAAATGTAACATAAGAACAGTTCAGATTCATCACCAGAGCTCCAAGAAGAATGTTTGCAGGTGACACAAGTGGAGAATGGCAAAGAGACACCACACGCTATGCCTTTATCAATCAGGGGTATATTTCCGGTTATAAGAATTTAAATGTTCTTTTAGCCTCAGCTGCATATTGGTTTTACAGTGCCTACTGACTGTGATGGTAGCTGCTGGCTGTGCTGTGCTACAAATATGTTTCTATGTAAAACTTGGTGTAAATCAAACACACGAGACGTTTCAAAAGGCGAGAAGGAGCTTGTTAAAGCAAAACTCAGTGTCCGCAATGCATTGTGGAGATGTTGTTAGTTTAAGAACACAAGCAAACATCAAATGTTTGGAGATCTGACCATAAAATGATGCAAGCTGAGTCTTTGTTCCGTAGTAAACTTGAGTCAGAAAAACAAACAAAGACATCTAGGAGGTTGCTCAACTCTCAATTCTATGACAAGGTTTTTGCTCCTGAAAAACACCTTTGAAATTGAGCATCTTGACCAACATCTTCTATCAACCGAAAGGCCCCCAGGCTCCACAGTTATGAGCAAGCTGCTAAGTAGCACTACAAAAAAAAACTTTATCATTTTTTATTTAAAAAATCTGTTGTAGTATGTTTTAATACGCAACAACTGGAACCCACGGAGAAGAAGCTGACATGGAGTTGAGGACTGGAATTTAGAACTGGAAGGAATCTAGAGACATGTGTTAGGGGTATTTCCTCAACAAAGATGGGTGAATGTCCTTGTTAGGTTCTTAGATTGATTTTGTAAAGTGTGTCTGTTTAGTTTTCAAGATACTGCTGAGCAATTGGACTCAGGGTCAGGGTTAGGGCTGCTTGTGCCCTCTCTGCCAGAGACATGATTTCCTGTGCTATATTTCATATAACCCCGGAGTACAGACTCCTTACACATTGTCAGTCTCTCTCTCTGCCTTCTCGGAGCCCCCACTCAGCCATGTCTCTATACATGTGAGTTAAATAATGTTGTGTAGCTTTAAACACATACAATATTTAATAAAACCTGAAAATTTACTTCCCTGTCTTTCTTGCTTCTGCTACTACTACTGCCATTAGAATGCTTGTTTGGCATGGACAACCCCTGGGTTTTACTCCTAGTATTGCATAAATCTGAAAGTTGGGCATGGTAACATATACTGGTATTCCCAGTACATGGGAGGCAGAGGCAGGAGGACTAAAAGTTTCAGTTCATCTTCAGCTGCTTAGAGAATTCAAGGTCAACCTAACCTCAAAACAAAACCACAACAATAAAAACCCTTACAGGTTCTCAACAGCTGCCTGCATGACCTCTCCCTGCTGTGTCTCCCCTCACAAAGGAACCTTCCTCCTTTCATATCCCATAGAACTAATAGTAAGCACACTGGATACAATGTGTCCTCTTAATCTGGGGGCTCTGGGATACTGGATTATGCAACTGTCTATTAAAATCTCTGCTGATTGACAAGCATACCCCACATTCCCATAGCAGATAAACATATGAAGGCTGCAGAACACCCCTACGCCAACATTCATTCTCTTTCTGTAGATTCTTTCTTCTGATACAGCCCCCGGAAATTGTTTATTTAATGTGGAATGGCCTAAGCTTGTAAAATCAGATGGTTTTATGTCCCTTATCAAAGCCATGGTCTTCCCTAATGACAGGAGGATTGATACCAGCTCTAGTACAATCTGATGTTGGAGTTTCCTTTACAACATTCTCCACAAATGTTTGGTTATGCACTTTTCTAAATTGCTGGAGTTAGTCGGGCAGAAAGAAAAGGCTCTTTGCTTTCTAAAGTGTCTACTCCCCTTCTTGGGCATTCCTCTTTATAACAAACCATTGTTTCCTCTCTTGAACCCTCCTCCAATTGCCCATTAGCTTCCCTTCCAGGGTCAGCCAGGTGAAGAGTTCTCTTTGCTTCCACTTGTATAAATTGTGGTTTGTACCTTTTTTATTTCCTGTACAGAGTTTTCAAGATCTTTTTGTAAAGGTTGTTTTATCAACATACCAGTCATAAGAATAGTATTAACCTTAAATGAAATAAAATTATGTCTTCAAGTGCAGAGACTAACATGAAAGTTAAACTTCAATCTTAAGTCAGATACACAATGTGCATGGGCACACACACATGCAGAGAGAGAGAGAGACAGAAAGCCCTGATATCTATGACTTCTCCAGTTTCAGGTTCTGGTCTGAACTTACTGCAGCAAGTTTGTAGCTTTCAGAGTTTCATATTGCTGTGAGATGTTTTTCCTTGATGATTTTAACTTTATTTATTATTTATTCATTTATTGGTTTTTTTGAGACAGGGTTACTCTGTATTGTTTTGGAGGCTGTCCTGGAACTCGCTCTGTAGACTAGGCTGGCCTTGAACTCAGAGAGATCTGCCTGCCTTTGCCTCCCGAGTGCTGGGATTAAAGGCGTGCGCCACCAACGCCCAGCTGATTTTAACTTTCTAATCTTAATTTCTCATATGAATAATTGGCTGCATGTGAGACATGCCGTTTATTTAACATCTCAATACTGTGACTTAAAAACAAAACAAATCAATGAATGAATGAACAAACGAAAAATAGTCAGGTTGGTTCAATAAATAAAGAATAGCAAGGTTTACACAATATCAAAGGTAATCCATGAGAAATTGTAGGGGTTTTTTGTAGTTTTATTTTTAAATCCCCCTCTGTCTCACTGTTCATAGGTTCTGATTATGAATGAAAAGGAAAGAACAAAACAAAACAAAATCCCAGTTTCATTTGGTTGATTTTCGTTCCACTGTGTATTACCTACTGCGTAATTGTTTTTAGTAACCAGGACAAACAGAATTGGGAGGTATTTCGTTTCCTAATCAAAATGTCCCTTGTTTTCAAAAGCAGACAGGTTCAGAAGTCCTAAACTGAGTTTTTATATGTCTAAAGTTAAATTTGTAGACTAAGATTCTAGCAATGGGATGTGTTAGAAGCCCTGACATTTGACTATTATTTCATGTCATAGTGGAAGCAGTTCTCTCTCGACTTCGTCTTGTTTTTAGGATCCCAATCTAGTGGGGAACTAACATAGGACCTCCCAGCACCCACTGCGAAGATGCCTAAGCCTTTCACCTGGCTAATAACGACCTCTCGTTGTAAAAAGAAACCACATCTGAGTACCTCACCCGAACATGTTGTTGTTTAACAGAAAAGATGACTCCACAGACTGAGCGCTCCTCAGCTGAGACCCCAACCCCTGAGGAAGAGCAACAGATGGGTCGGATGATGGCGAAGCGGGCAAAGATCATCAGGGAGCTGATACAGACCGAGAGGGATTACGTCACGGATCTGGAGCTGTGTGTCAGAGAAGTGGTCCAGCCGCTGAGAAACAAGCAGGTGAACACAAGTTTGAGACTGCTGTTCTCTTTCTAGTATTTTCTCTCATGTTCTAAACAGATACAGCAGCACCGTGAAGTCCACGCACCCAGTATCAGTGGGGTGGCGGGTGCATCTTTCTCAGGGCTTCTAGTCCTAAATTCAGAGTTGTCCTGAGGTCCTTAATTCTGGTATTGAGGAGGGGAAGTGCTGTCTGTCTCCCTATTTACAAGAAGAAACAATATTCACAAACTCAATGAGAAGGTAATTCATAGGTTTTTTGTTTGTTTGTTTGCTTGCTTGTTTTTTTTTTACCCTAGCATGAAATTTCTGTGTTCTTCTTTGAAATTTCTCTGAAATAGGTAACAAATTTGGGAAATAAGCTTTCAGTAGTCTTGGGTACAAGTTATTTAATTCAGTGATCATCATGGATTCAAAAGAGAAAATGATGTAAGCCCTGCCACTCCAGAGGTCAACTGAACTTATAACTATAGGGCTAAGTAAAATTCAAGTGTTTATGAATGAATAACTCTTTCCCCCAAAGGAATTATCTGGGAATTAGTTTGTAAGATGTTCAGCTTAGAATGGAAACTATTTCATTTATTAATTTTCAACACTTACTTATTAAACACATGGCCATTGGCTCTGTGAGGCTTACTCCTTGGTCCAGGCGAGGAAGTCATACAATGTATAAATAAATAAAAAGAAGATATGGTAGATAGAGTTAAGTGCAGAGAAAGGGGTTGAAGTATGGAGAGAGAGTGGTGGTGCTTCCATTCCAAGTAGAGAGATGAAAAAAAGAGACCTTTCTAGTGTGTGCTTCAGAGCAGAGAATGGAAGGGAGAGGAGTTCAAGGAAGGGCAGAGACAGGAACGAGGATCTCAGCACAGCTGTAAGTGGTCCTTGTATACAATCCAAACTGTTCAACAATAAGGAGAAAACAAATGTATAAACAAATATCAGCACTCAGAGAAAGTCACTGACCATGGTTGGAGACTTTCAGATATTTGGGAACTTATTCACACATATACAGACAGACAGACAGACAGACAGACACACACACACACACACATTTTCATAGAAAGGTATGTAATCTTAGAAGAATATTTTCATTCAGCAATCTGTTGCAAGTCGTTTCATGATGCCTAGTACTTCTAAATTTATTTCTGATGTTACTGATCCCCAGATAAATATGTTTTTGTTTATTCGTTTGCTTACTTTCTTAGAATAGACTCTCAGAAATGGAAGTGTTAGAAAGCATATTAAGGCTGAGCATGGTGGCACATGCCTTCAGTCCCAGCGTTCAGGAGGCAGAGGCTGGTGGATCTCTGAGTTTGGGATCAGCCTGTCTACATAAGTTTCTGGCCGGCCAGGGTTACAAAGAAAAACTCTTCCTCAAAAAACAAATTGATTAAGGTTGGGATTTATTTGTTTGTTTTAGGTTTTTTGCTGTTGTTGTTTGTTTTGTTTTGTTTTTAATGTCAGTTGCTAACCAAAATTCAATAGTCCTGATTTTCATTCCTAGTGGCTGGGAAATCTTTTCTCTGTATCATTCCTCCTGAAAAAAAATCTTCTTGTATATTTCTTAGTCTTTATAATTTAGTCCCCTTTCACGTTCTTAGCTTTTTTGTTTGTTTTGTTTTGTTTTTTGAGATAGGGTTTCTCTGTATTGTTTTGGAAGCTGTCCTGGAACTTGCTCTGTAGACCAGACTGGCCTCGAACTCATAGAGATCCTCCTGTCTCTGCCTCCCAAGTGCTGGGATTAAAGGCGTGCACCACCAACGCCCTGCTACATTCTTAGCTTTTTAAAATTATTGTTTATATATTTCCTCATTATTTTAAAACACCTTTTAAAATATTCATCTTCCTTCCTACATGTTGTCAATAACTTTCTTAGTTTATTTTTTACCTTCTAACTTTGGTTAAGAGTGCTTTTGTTTTGTTTTTGTTTTACCATGTTTATGGCTTTGGTTCAGAATTTAGTTTCTTAGTATGTACCCACAATTATAAAACTATTACTACTCAGTTGTAATATAACAGCAACCGTTATTTTCCCGCCTCCACCAGTATACACAACCTCCAGCAGCAGAGGTTCTTAGTGCCTTCCTTGTTCACGCCCAGTGAGCTCTCTTCAACCCCACCTTCGCCACTTCCACTTCCTCCAGAGTCTTCCCGGAACCTGTCACCACCCCAGCCTTCTGTACTTTGAGGATCTGAACTTCCAGCTCACTGTGTCACCGGCCTCGTCTTGTCTCTTTCTTCCAGTTCCCACTGGTGGCTCCAAGCCCTTGTCATCTCGCCGTGTCCCTTAGGCTGACACCTGGCTCAGTTTTTTTGAACCTTTTATGGCAATCACTCTTGGCATATGGCCACCATTTCTTTTTTCTTTCCATTTCCTTCCCTGAAAAACAGAACCCTGCCCTGGTGAAGCTCAACTCTTTTATGGCAATCACTCTTGGCATATGGCCACCATTTCTTTTTTCTTTCCATTTCCTTCCCTGAAAAACAGAATCCTGCCCTGGTGAAGCTCAACTCTCTGTCAACTTCATACTTTTACTTATGTAATGAAATGATCTTCAGAGTCAGCCTAATTTACTAAATATCTGTCTATGTTGAGGATCAGTTTAAAGAACACAAAATGTAAGTAAGACGATGCCTCTCCTGGAATTCCAAGTCCATGTTTGTATCCAATGGAGTGAGAAATTCACTCAGTATGAATTTGAAACCACCTGCTGGGCTGAGCCGAACCTTCTCACCAGATGTCATGGTTGGGCTGAGCTCCTGTTTGTGGTCTCTGAGTTTTGTTTGTTTTATATCATTCTTGTTTTCTACTTTCATTTCTGTTGCTGCAGTAAAATAGCCTGCCAATACTGGCTTACAGGAGAGAGGGTCCCAGGGCATTGTGGGAAAAGCATACAGGCAGGAGCTTGAAACAGCTGGTCACATGGCATACTGGGGAGAAAAGGCATGCCTCCTTATGTGTGCTCCGCCCCATAGCTACACAGTCCACCAAACCCAGGGAATGGTGTTGCCCGCAATGGGCATGTCAATTAAAATAGCAAAAACAGTCTGCCTAACCTGATCCAGACAACCCCTCACTGGAGTCCCTTCCCAGGTGATTGTGTGCAGCTGACAGAACTGTCCACCTCACCGCGTACTTTTTAGAGACAGTCTCAGCACAGGTGGCCAAGACAAATCACTTACAGTGCTTCATTACGTGCTCAACTTCAGCTCACAACACTTCGAATCACGTCTCAGCTGTACTCACATTTGCTGTGTTATTCTAATAAAGCTGATTGGAGCATGGTGGGTTTTGTATACACTTTTCTTTGCTTCAGTATGGTAAGATTGTTCACCCTCCTCACTGTGAGGTTCAGTTTTGTACTATTTTTTCTAATGTCACCCCTGACTATGCTGTAATTGAAATTCTTTTTGCCTGTCCTCCACTTCCTAATGTTTTAATTTTTGATTGGATAATAAGCCCTCTAGAATGTTCATAACTCTTAGAAACATGGACATGAGTGTAGAAGTAGCTGAAGCTGCTGCCAGTTCACTAACTGATCAACTCTTCATTCATTAACTCCTTCACAGCTTAGCTGCTGGACGGTGCTCACTACCCACCTGCTGTCATTATTGCCAAAGTATGTAAAGGGACAGGTGACTTGCAGGTCACCATGAGAACATTGTAGTTAAGTCAGAGGCATGCTTTGATTAACCTGGAATAACGCGTGTGCACGTGTGTGTGCGTGTGCGAGTGTGTGTGTGTTTATCAAGCTGACACAGTGTGTGTGTGTGTGTGTGTGTGTGTGTGTGTGTGTGTGTATTAGGCTTGGGGTGATATTAGAAAGTCATCTGATCTGTGATCTTTTCTCCATGTCAACTCAGACCACTGTCAGATAAAGAAAGCATTCTATGTAGGTGAAGATTGAGAGACGATGGGAAAACCCAGGCAAGCTCCAGCATTACCTAGCTTAGCTCAGTGAATGGCGTGCAAATGAGTGAGTACATCTAGCTTCTTAGGTCAGTCATGATGCCCAATTTTAGCCTTAGCCTTAGGGATTTCTGTCACAGGTCTTCACTGACCTGAAAGCAGGCCACATTTCCCTAAGCAGCATTGTCATAGGTTGTCAAGAAGGGGAAAGTACCCACAACATTCAATGTTGAAATATTTAATGGAAAACAGATCTAGTTATTATCTCAACAAGAGGAGAGTCTGTATGGTTTTGGCAGCAAATCAAACAAAATCAAACAGAGCAAGCCACACCAACAACAGACTTTTATTCTATGTGTAAGGAAAAGATAAAAGATGGTTGAAAATAATAGAGGAATTTGAATGCACATCCTTATTTTTGTTTATATTTATTATTCAATTTCTTATACTCACATATTGCAAAAGTACCATAGACTTCAAGGGCCCTAATGCCAGCCTTCAGCTATTCAATGTTCTTTCCTAGAGCATCAGTTCTCAAACTATGGGTCACAACCTCTTTGGGGTCAAATGACCCATTCACAGGAGTTGCCTAAGATCATCAGAAAGCACAGATGTTTACATTGCAATTTATAACTATCAAAAATATATTAAGCAGCAATGAAAACAACTTTATGATTGGGGGGTCACCATCACATAAAGAACTGTATTAATGGGTTGTACCATTAGGAAGGTTGAGAACCACTGCCCTAAAGGAAAGTCAGGTACAGTTTCTACCCTTCCAAGGATGTGTCTATTTCCCTTGCCTTTGCTTACAGGTAGCCTAACCATGTGCCTTATGCTTGAAATAGTATGTTTCCTGGAAAGTGGCAAGAAAAATAATCTCTAATTTCATGCTGGCCCGAGCTCCTTGGAGCCTTCTGTTCAATTTTGCATATACTATGTGGCAACACCTTTGTAAATAGAATTTATTAGAAAATTTTAGGAGAGGGAGCTGGGGAGATGATTCACTTGGAAAAACACTTGCCATGCAAGTATGAGGACTCTAGTACCCACATTAAAATTGACTTCATCTACAACCCCGGCTGCAGTG